GTGTAAATAGAATCCATTGCTAATACGAGATTTGAAAAGGGAGGGAAAAAAAGTTCGGCAAAAGACGGAATCGAACCCGGGTCGATCGCATCAAAAAGCTAACAACCCGTGTTTATCCATCTGCGCCGCTGGAGCTGATGTTTTACGGCCACTTTTAACTAAATGTAAATAGACACCCCGTATTTTTTATTCCATAGTAAGGGCAATTCATACAATACATTTAAACTGAGCTACTTTAATACTATCTCCGAACTTTCTACCACGACTCTGCTGTTCTTCGGCTGGTTCTTCCTGTATACGTTGATTGACAGATGTCTCGTCCAGTCAGCGGTGAGTAATCCCAAACCAATGGCGCTGTCTCAAACTATACCTACCTCTTCCGGTTTGTCTGATTTGTCGTTGTGTTTTCTGACTTGTTAATTTGTTTTTTAGACTTGCATTTGCATTTGTTATTTTGTTTTCAGAATTGTGATTTGTTTAGCACTTCTCGGCCACCGTACGAATGAGCTCTTTTGTGTTTTACTAACAAAAAAACGTTAGTAGTTAACCGAGAAATTGTTAAATTAGATTAGAGTCTAACCAGGTTACTGGGCAAAGACATGGGAAGAATCAATGCAGTTCTAGTTAAAGCCAAAACATGTGATCTTGGCGATTATTAACCCGGCCTTCAGAGATTGGCAGTGGACTAAACCATTTGTCTCACCCTAGGTGGATTGCAGGGCGTTGTACTAATACACGTTTTGGGTTAATCTCGTCAAACCGGATTTGCTGTCACTGAATACTGTTCCACAATATCGTATATTAGTGTTCAAGAAGTAAAAGAAATGTATAAGAGTCCATATTTTTAAACACGCAAAGTATTGTTCTCTTTTGGACCCCTAAGATTTTACGCGCATTTTGCTTGCGGTGGGCCCGCCGATCTCACCTGAGTTTCGGGTTACACTTTCATACCTCACTGCAGTGCAGAAGGAAATGGAGGACGCATCTGCCTGAGAAAATACAGCTGCTTTTTCGACACTTGCTCGGACTTTCTTTACATACCTTTGAGGAAATAAACGTTTTTAAAGCTCATATGTTTTAAAAGATTTTGAGAAAATATGTCGCAGGGTATTATCTTTACCCTCCTCTTGTTCACAGGTAGGGGCATTTCTCCTTGTTATGCTAATGCAGTACTGTTTTAACTTCTGTCAATTATTGTACGTTACGTGTATAGAAAATATTAATCGATTATCATATTTTTATTTTATTACAGTCCATATGAAGGCCATATGGACCTATCTGTAGTAGATATACGTTAGGATTTGTCTCATAATTTACTAAAATGAGGCTATAATAATGATTGTTTATGCATAATTAATAATTTACAAGTTTAAATGTAACTAATGGAAACCAGCATCTAAATTTTAGATTTGAGTACAAAATAATACACATCCATTTTGATATATAGGCCTACCTGAGGTATTTACACATGTTGTGCAATAATTCCACTTTGTCTCATTTGGATTTGCTTAAGTGCATTTGGTGTTTGTTGTTTGGGGAGCAAGTAATGTGGATTGTGTGGGAGGTGGTCATATCGTATTCACACGGAGTGGTTTCGGTCAGACATACAGTAGGCCTACTCTATGAGTCACATCCTCTGATAAACTCTTTAAAGCTAACTCTAGCTTACGACCTGACGTCATACTATGATTTCACCTGTGTGTAAAGTTTGTATACCATTTCTTAGTAATCCCAAACAATGCTCAAAATGGCCCGTTGGAGTGTTTTTGGAGTGAATGGCTTGTAGAGGCCCTCTATCTGTCATTGTATCTTTTCAAGGTATTATTAAAGAGCTTTGCTTGAAAAGACGTGTTAATTGTAGCTTCTGTGAAAGACTATTGTTCTTTGGCCTGTATGTTAGGGGTTTTCCTTTTATTTCAGACCTATCGGGTCTAACAACAGGAATATGCATATGTATCTAACAGTACTTCCTAATATATAATAGCCATAACCCTCAGAGAGTCATGTATGATATGATAATATATTTGGAAGGATATTATACGTGGAAGTCATTAGTGGCCTAATGGTTAGAGAGTCGGACTCGTAGCCCGAAGGTTGCGGGTTCGAGTCTCGTACCAGCTGGGATTGTAGGTGGGAGGGGGAGTGAATGGTACAACGCTCTCTCCCACCTTCAATACCACGACTGAGGTGTCCTTGAGCAAGGCTCTGAGCCCCCAACTGCTCCCCGGGCACCGCAGCATAAATGGCTGCCCACTGCTCCGGGTGTGTGTTCACGGTGTGTGTGTGTGTGTGTGTTCACTGCTGTGTGTGTGCACTTTGGATGGGTTAAATGCAGAGCACTAATTCCGAGTATGGGTCACCATACTTGGCCACGTCACTCACTCATATTTTCTTCCTCAAAAGTATAAAAATGCTAGGGATGCACCGATATGAAAATTTTGGCCGATACCGATAACCGATTGTTCTTTATTTTTGAAAGCCGATAACCGATATGTTGGCCGATAAATCTATATCCAAATTGTTATATACTTTTTGAGAGCCTGATTACAAAAAAGGTCTCATCATTAAAAGCCACATCCCAAACACTTCAACATAAGCAGCCTAGTTTGAACGGTGTATGTTTTAAAAATATTTTTACTCTCCCATTACCAAATTTAGTCATAAAAAAGTCTTACAAATAAAATACTGCATAAATAATGCAAACAAGTCACTGGACATCATTACACGTGTAAAGAATCAAAATGAATGCGCCACAGATCAATAAAACGGAATAGCCTCTGCACGGACAATAATTAAATGATTTTAATTACTAAACCATATTGTTGATGAAAATAATAAGAGAAAAATACAAGTGGTTGTTGTTATTAATAATATATCAATGATTGTGAAAAAGTAACAAATTAATGCCACTGTTTTAAATAGCAGCCGTTGAGCTGCACGTGCTGAAGCTGAAGAGCTGAATGAACAAGGTAAACTGAAGCGTTTTGCTGGCAGCTTATTTAACTCAAGGAAATGCATCCTGAGATTAATATTAATACAACATAAACATAATATTACAACTTATATATGTACAAAATGATGCAGTTATTACGTGCTATAGTCAGAATGTGTGATCCTGCTGTGGATGCGCTCTTCCCATAACAACGCGCTGAAACACGGCAACTAAACCCAAAGAATGCACAAAGTTTTATTATAATAATGTTCTCATTAGAATGTTATATACACGACATTCCCAATCATAGTTATTAATGTTGTGCACTGCTGTTTGAGCTGCGTGCGCTGAGCTAAAGACGATCACCGGTAAACTGAAGCGCTCTTTTAACTTAACCAAACGCATTCTATATGAGATAAATCAGATATACATCAAATAAACACAATATTACAACGTACAATTGCACAAAAGGCTGCAAACGAACAGCGCGCATCTGAAGTGTCTCTGAAGGAAATAATGCATTATTTATCGGCTTTAAGATATCGGCCAAATTTTCTTATCAGGCCGATACCGATAACAGAAAAAATGAGCATTTATCGGCCGATACCGATATGGTGGCCGATATATCGTGCATCCCTAAAAAAGAGAAAGTCATACAGGTTTGAAACGACATGATTTGAGTCAGTACATTTTGCCAGAAATTTTATTTCTGGGTGAGCTGTCCCTTAATGCTTTCGATAGCTCTAAGCCAAAGAGAAGTCAGTTTATTATTTGAACAGACTAAAAGAAATTGACATGTTCACTGGCATAATCAGTTTTCATGTGGTTCACCTGCTTTATTATAATCTTTTCCCTTGTGTTTAAGAAATATTTTTTTACAGGAAATCTTAAGAAACTTTTAATGTCTTTTGACATGGTTTGAGATATTGTTATTGCCTCAAAGGACTTTCAGTCTAGTCTAGATGGTATTTGATCTCCACTGTATTCTTAATTTATGTCTAAGTTCATGGGAGTGTCTTAAATCTCCCTGTGTTCATTTATTTATGGATGCCGTTATATTCAAATGTGTTTTCTCTCCCACAGGCTGCACCACAGCCATCAATGTGATCTGCCCTTACCCACGATACGTGGTCATATTATTCCAGCCGGTCACGCTGCGCTGTGATTTCACTACAACAGCTACAAACCCACCACTGATCACCTGGAAATACAAGTCCTACTGCAGAGACCCGATCCAAGCTGCATTAAACCCCAGCAGTGCTGACAATGCTATCGCTCAGTCCAACCCAAACTACAACCCCAACATTGAGTGTGCAGACAGCGCCAGGACTGTTCGCATAGTGGCTTCGAAACAAACGGCGGTCTCACTTGGGACTGAGTACCAGGGCCGTCAGATCAGCATAACAAACAGTAAGTTGACTTTACATTGTGAAAGTATTTATTTATTTATTAGAATTTTATTTTCATCAACACTACACCTGTAAAGGCTGTGCTAGATTTAGCCTGGCTGCATTTTATCTGCCATAAAGATTTATGATATGGTTTGATATAGGGCTGCACGAAAAATCTCATGCAGCCCTAGTTTGATATGATGATCACCTTTAAAATGTCACCTATTTTATGTTTTCTAAAATATATAGTGGCAGACCTTAGCATTGTTCAGACCGCGTGGGGTGACAGCGGCGTGTACGTCTGTAATGTTGCCTCTGCCCAGGACCTTTCAGGGAATGGCGAGTGTTATACAGAGCTCATTGTGCTTGGTAAGTGTTTACCTTTACACAAACAAACTCGCATTGATGGACACCCAAACATTTCAGTGTGTGATTTCGTCAAACTCAATCAATCACTTTGTCATGTTTGATGGGTCTTTGCATATGCGAGGAATTAGGGCTGTGTTTGATGATCTCTTGGAAATTGTTGGTGATTTTTTTTTTTTTTATAATTATTTTTTTACATTTATTATTTGTTTGTGATATATTATGATTTAGTTATTTGGTAACACTTTACTTAAAGCCTTTATGTATAATGCACTATAAAATGGTTATAATATTAATTATGCCTTGTAATGCACCTTATAATGCATTGTATAATCTCATGAGTAATTGTAACCACAGTTAATACATTATAACATTAATACATTTATTGTTACACTATGCATTTTAAATTTGGTTATAATTATTTACAACAAGATACAATGTATTAATGCACATTATGAATAATTATAATGCATTATAGCCTTTAATAACCCTTTTTATTCCATGGTCTGTCTGAATACTGGATTCTGATTGGCTGGCAGGTATGCAGTAAAACCGTTTAATGCACCGGTAGTTCCAAGTCAGTTTAATCACCGTTCTATGTTAATGCTTTAGTTGATGCACACTAACCAACACGCATCACTCGCACACACACACACACACACACACACACAGAGAGAGAGAGAGAGAGAGGTCAGAGATCGCTGATTGTGCTGCACACACACACAGACTTGTTGTCAACGCTTCTCCGTGATTTTCATTAATAAAATAGCCTAGATACTAGATCGCTACATTATATTCCTCAGCAACGAGGTGGTAAAATCGCTGTTTTTGAAATAGTTGTTTGTACAGGGAGACACGCAGACGCAGCAAGCAGGTACACACAACTGTCATCTCTCTCTCTCAAACGACCGATCGATCGATCGATAATTAATTGAAATACATGCTATAATTCATTCAAATAAATGTGGTCTTACCGCACTATTTCATCTCTGTGTATGATTTGGAGCAGGCAGAATGCTAGCGCTAACGTGCCTTAACTGACAAAAATAACTGTAATTTTTACACATTCGGTCAAATATTGTGCTGCAAAGAGCAATACTAGTTTTAACTTGTCTATAACTTGGCAAATGACCATGGAATAAGCGGGATAATCAATGGCTAGCCGTGCATTAAAGGATTTTAAATGCACTTCGCGGAGGCAACCACCTCGGCTTCGCGTCGGGCAGTTCTTTGCCTCCACGTTGTGCATTTAAAATCCTTTAATGCACGGCTAGCCGTTGATTATCCCTTACATAATGCATTACACAAAGGTTTTAAGTAAAGTGATACCAATTATTATATTTTTATTGTAATGTTTTTTTTAATTTATTTTCTGCCTGGAAGATCGCCGTTTGCTTGTGAAGGATTCAAGTCAATGTCATAGAAAGCAGTAATATATTGATAAATACTAGTGCTGTCAAACGATTAATAGCGATTAATCGCATCCAAAATAAAAGTTTTTGTTTACATATGTGTGTGTATTGTGTATATTTATTTTATTAGGTATACATAAATGCACACACAGCATATATTTTGAAAATATTTACATGTATATATTTATATTCATATAATTTATATCATATATAAATATATTTAATATATAAACATAACATATTTTTCTTAAATATATACATGCATGTGTGTGTATTTATATATTCATAATAAATATACACAGTACACACACATATATTATGTAAACAAAAACTTTTATTTTGGATGCGATTAATTGTTTGACAGCACTACTAAATACAAATATTAATAATTATAGTAGAAGTAGTCTATTAACTTAAAGGCAGTTTTTTCTTCTTGGGCCGATGCCGTAAGGCCTTTTTCAGTAATTATGGCTTTGTCTTTCTTTCACCGAGAGAAAGTCTAATACTACAGACCTGCTGCCTGGCATTGATTTACTGATCATGGAAGGTAGAATAAATGCTTCTCTCTAGAGGTCTGGTTAAGTTTGGAGCTATACTTGAATCCTTCACCAGCCACAGTCAGGTCTTATTCATTACAGCCTTAGACTAGAAAAACAACAACTATAGATCTTAAAGTAGAAGCCATTTATTTTTTTGCTCCATAAACAAGGTTTTGATGGGATGGAAGAACAGTGTGTTCAAACAATGTTGTGTCGTTGTGTCCCATTGTGTCCTTGAATGTTGTGTCATTGTGTCCTTGAGCGTCCAGCTGATAAAACACTGAAAATGAGGTTTTACAACGTAGTGTACTTCTGTCACTTACAACCTTGTTTTTATTTGTGTCAAATTATGTTGTGTACTCTGAATGGCGTCAGTTGCTAATTATTATGGGTCTTATTTGAATTCTTGATTCTTATTGGCAGCATTCTGTGGTTAAATATCTTTGCATAATGCCTGAGACAACAGTTTTCATATCCAGTTTCATATCTCTGTTATCACTCCACAACCTCTTTCTTCTCACATAATAAACCAATTTCAGCTCAAAACAATATTAAAGGTCCATTAATTTATTTATTTGGTAAGCAGTAAAAAAGTAAGGCAATTTACAGTTAGCCAACTGACTGTATATTATTGCCTACTTAGATTTGCATAATACTGTAATTTGGTTGAGATTTTTTGGATAATCTAACTGAACAAATGATGATCTCAACTAGAGAAAAATTGGATTTTATTTTGATGGTTTGTTTTCTCCATCAGATTGTGGAATAGTTTCTGAGATCTGCGTTTGCACATGAGTCATGTTGTGTCTGTGCATGTAGGATGTTGTTGTGGTGCATGCTGGAATCAAGCCCTGGCAGAGTATTGTGAGGCAAAACCTGTCCGGCTGGTTTTTCTTTATGTGCGTCAAATACATTTTTTTATTTTTTCCTTTTTTAAATTTTTGCTTGCAGAACTGACAGACATGTGCACACATGAAAATGAATGCCCTCATCTCATGACATTTTACTAAGCATTAGGGATGGGGGGGGACCAAAATAAGTGATGAAACGGAAATACAATCTCATGAAACAGAAATAAAGCCAATGTTGCATTTAGACATGTTTTTATTTTTAGTCTTTTCTGTTTAATGCCTTCACTCTTCTGTTTTAGTATCTAATGCAAGAGATTTGTCTCTTTTCCCCAGCTGTTAATTTTTTTTTCTCCTTCTCCAGACTGGTTGTTAGTGGTGTTGGTGGTCCTGGGCTTCCTGCTGCTGTTGCTCCTGATTGGTATCTGCTGGTGTCAGTGTTGCCCTCATACCTGCTGCTGTTACGTCAGCTGCCCCTGCTGCCCGGAGCGCTGCTGCTGTCCCCGCGCACGTGAGTCCACACCGCCTTCACTTCCAATTCTCCTTTTGCCAGAAATGTCCTGTTTGGATGAAAATAACTCAAACGGAATGAAAAGGCAGTAGAAACTGATGAAGTTGTCAGTGTTATTTTCATATTATTTAGATTCTATTATATTTTTTATTAATATTTTCATTTAGCTTTTTTATTTTAGTTAATATTTAGTAATTTAACTTTTTTTGTAATTTTCATTTTTTTATTATTATTATGATTACTTTTTAGATTTTATTTTTGTTTCAGTTTCAACTTTAGTTAAGTTGTAGTTTTATTTCCAGTTAGTAGTAAACTTTCTCATGCTTGCTTAGTTTGTTTTTCAACTGATATCTATATTTTATTTTATTTCAGCTTTAACATAAAATGTTTAATAGTTTTAGTTAGTTAACGATAATAACATGGTAAAATGAGTTCCAGAAAAGTGTTGCAAAATTCCTCTTTGTGTGAATTGTTTTTATTAGGGCTTTCAGTTGATTAAAAATATATAATCTACAGTAATTACATACATGATATGGTGAATTAATCAAATTAGTTGTAAAAAAAATTTAATGTATGAATATTTGCAAAGAAAAACCATTATATGTTATTGTGTTGTTTTAAATAATTATTTGTGCTAAATAAACTTCTTTGCAGTGTATGAGGCTGGAAAAATGGTAAAGTCTGGCGTCCCCAGTCAGTACGCAGCCACTCTCTATGCCCCAAACATGTACGGCCAGCCAGCTTATGGAGTTGGCGGAGCTACGCCAGGCATACCCATGCTCCCTATGCCGGTGGGTGCTGCTGGTCCTCTGTCCAATGGATACGGCAGAGACTTTGACGGAGCCAGCTCAGGTAGACTCGTCCTCTCTTTGCCTTAAAAACAGCAGTTTAACAACATTGTTTTTACATTAATAAATGTAATTGGTTGATCATTTGTTCGTCCCGCTACAGTTGGTCAAGGATCTCAAGTGCCGCTCCTGCAAGACCACGATGGTGGAGGACGTAAGCAAGAGATCTTCACTACGTCACTGCGTTGATCCATCTATAACATATTTAAGTGACTTTATCCCTTTGAAACCTTCTGTTTGACATCTAATGTTGGTATGTTTTTCAGCCCGTAGTGGATACCGTGTTCAGGCCGACCAAGATGGAAACCCAACTCGGGTGCTTTACTACATGGAGCGAGAACTGGCCAACCTCGACCCCAGTCGCCCAATGAACGCTCCAGGCAAATACAGTCGTCGTGAGTTCCGGAGATGGGCACTATCTTTTATCACTCTGAGGGTTGGGTTATAACAAAGTGGTGCTTAACATGACTTACATAGGACATGTTCCTGGATCAAGATCCTTCATGAAAACAATTTAAATCAACCAGTTTTTGACAGGATTAAGGATTCACAAACATGCCCTACTTGTGTGTGAGAAAGTCCACGGGCAGTCTAAAGGAAACAAACTCTGTTTAAACTCTTGTTTCCTGTAGATTCTCTGTTTTTCCAAGGTTGGGGGATGATTTGTAGGTGTTTGTTTTATCAAAACCTTTTTACACTTTTAGTTTTATTCTGTTTTTCCCATCTGTCCTCCAGTGGATGGTATGAGTGAGGTAAGCTCACTTCACGATGGTCCAGATGCTCGAAATCGCGGTCGGGCCAGACCACCTCAGCTTACCACAGTGTATGATGATGTGGATGAAAACATGAGCACCATCAGCAGCGTCTCTCAGCACGTCCGACGGGATGAGCCCAGGCGGGGAGCTGACTCTCGAGGACGTGCACACTCTATGGAAAACTTGGACGATATCGGCCGCAATTACAGAGACAGGGATGACTATCCGCCCGCACGCCAAGATGGTGGGGCTAGAGGCGGCAGAAGAGAGTGAGTGACTGAATTGAATTGAATCACACTAAATTAATGCATTAAGTCCTTCTTTACCCATGACTTTCCTCTGTCCAGTTTGGATGACGAATGGAGCAGTAGTGGACGAGGATACGACCGTGTCTTCGATGACCGTCGGCGCCGTGATTACTCTCCTGACGCTCGTCCTCGGCGTGGAGACTCCTTCCGTGGGGCTGGTTTCCAGGGCCGGCGCAGCCGTAGTCGTGATGACCTGACGGATCTGGAGCGTGATCGTGGCCGTGGAGGTCGGGATGCGTATGATGACAGCTTCCTCAGGGAAGCCATGGAAAAGAAGAAGCTTGGTGAGCAGCAGAGAGGCCGCAGCCGCGAGCGGCTCGACAGTGAGAGTGACAGATCTGACCGCTACAGGGGGCCACACGGCGGACTGCCACCTCTGCCACTCGCCCCGCCTTCCGGAAACCCTAATCGGCATGGAAACCATAGCAACTTCCCACCTCCTCCCCCTCGCTACACTGAGGACAGTGACAGTTTGGCATCGTCCAAGAAGAGCAACTTAAAAAAGGTAAGAAAGAGCCAGATTCAAAAGTGCTTATTAAAACTTATTGGTTTGTCAACATAATTAACTTAAAAATGAAAAAAAAAATTTTTTTAAAACCACTTCTAATAAATATTATAATATTATCAGGGTTGTTTTAGTGTTATTGAGGTACTATTATTATTAATTTTAATAGTTTTTATTAGTATTTTCAATCAGTTGTTTAAATTTTATATTTTCACTTTAATTTTAGTTATAGTAAATATATAGTAAATATAGTTTCAGTTTTAATTAACTATAACAATCCTAAATGTTACCGGATTGAGTTGATATTACATTAAATTAAATTGAATTATAGTGCAATTGATCCTTGTTTTTTCATGGGACAGTACGTAATATGTTTCAGAATAGTACAAAATGTGAAGTAACCTAATCTATATGTAAACATATATATATATATGTGTGTGTGTAATTATATAAATTGTGTATATTAATAAATACAAGTAAGAATATGGTCAGTTACTTAGTTAGCTATTTTACAGGATGTGCCTAGGTACAGAGGGCCCTGCTGGAAAAAAAACTTGGTCATGTTAGCTTAAGATGGTCATAGTGGGTTTTGGACTAGCATGATCAAAATAAGCTTCCATCTTTAGCTGTAAAAATATTCCCATTTCAAATTCAGTATTTTTTTTTCTTTGATGGTGTTGAGTTAAGCCCAGCAGAAGAGGATACAATGCTTTAATATTTAGTCATATTTATATATATGACTGTTATATATCAGTTATATTTTTATACTAATACAAAGTTCTGCTGTGTTTTCTCTGTCTAGAATGGAGCTGTGAGCAGAGAGAGTCTGGTGGTGTGATGCTCAGGTGGAAATGATGTGTGTGTGTGTGTGTGTGTGTGTGTCTCAGTGATGCAGCTGTGTGTGTTTCCTCTGCCCTTTCATGTCACTTATGCGTGTGTTTGTGTTTTGGCTTGAACGCTGAGAGGAATTTTTGTTTATATTCAGATGTCTTGAATTTTTATGGGATATTTTAATGGTAAAAATTGTATAGCCACAAATAGTTCACATTATTTCACTGTAATGCAGGCTCGTTTATAAATATAAAATGGCAGATTTGAAACAACTGATGAACTTTTTATGGTTTGGTTCCTCCCATGAACATTTTAACAGCAAGTACTCCAAAAAAAAATATGACTGCTGTGATAATCAGCATCAGCAGTTGTTTTTACTGTGCAAATATGTCTTAATAGGTGGTTATTTGTGTCTTGGAAAAAACCTTTCAAGTTTTCAGGCATTGATTTTTAATTACTTTAATGTAACATAAAGAAGTGATCTTTGTATGGACTGAAATTCTATTATTGTGCCTGTAGTCTGAGGCATCATGCAGTTTCTTCAACTGGGTGATTATATAATGTTGTATTTTTATTTTTTATGCATATTTACAACACATTTACAAATGCAAGAACTTGTATGAAACACCCCTGAGTGTGCTAATTTTTTAATGCAGTTTTTTAATACGTACAGTAATACTCTAATCTCAGATTTGGTCATACAGTAGTTGATCATTTTGCTATTTTTGTACAGTCACATAATGTCAATTTTCAATAAAGCTTTTATATTGTATTTACGTTTGTTTTCTTGTTAGGGATCAATGTGACATACTTTACCCTTTTTTTTTTTTTTTTTCTTCTCCATTTGTTTGGTGTTTTTATAAAATTATTGTTACCACTAGATGGCACTTTACTATTCATGTACAATAATGGCATGGAATGGCGTACTGAATCCATATGCATATGATTTTTCTTTTTCTTTTTTTTTTTTTTCTTTTTTTATTCGTTATCACTGAGGTATTTTATTTTTTGATGTTTACAATATGAATATGCATTCAATGTTATAACTTGTTCTGAAGTTAATGTTCCTGTTTGTAGCAGCCTGTTAAGTTGTCATTAGGTATACATTGCTGTCTTAACAGACTTGAACATTTTCTTTACATGTATATCAGACTGCTTTCTTTTAGGTGTTGGCACATCTAGTCTGTTGTCTTGTGCTGCCTGCTGGGTTTAACAGAAAAAAAGCATCTTCTCTAACCCAGATGGAGAAGAAGGACCAACAACTGCCTCTGTCTCAGAGTGAGACGTAGTTTCTGAAATCCAACGTTGGTGTCCTGCCAAGATCACAGCAGAGAGGTAGCCATCGAAGCTTTCATCCATCTGGTGTCTTAAAGCAGCCATTCCTTCAGATAGACAGGAAGTTAGGTGAGAGCTACTTAAGAAACAGCATCAGCAAAAGGGCAGCTGAACCCCACGGTTCAGACAGCTGTTTAAAAACGGATCTGTTTGCACTTAGGTGGTCTTGTTAAAACATCTGAGTAATAAACGGTTTTCTCTAACAATTACATTGCAGGGTTGAGTGTAGCGCAACATGAGAAGCAGATTCAAACCAACATGGACTTGAGGTATGTGAAGATATTTAGGCCAGAATAAATCATAAAATTATCATTCTTCCAGTTTCTCTTTGAAGTACAGTAACATTTGTAGTGATTCAGTTTGCTGCAGTGGTGTTTTTCTGTTTGTAGAGTCGAGGCATGACTAATCAGGGTGCTAATGTGAAACCACAATAACAATCATGTGTCAGTGGCACATGCCACCAGATAGAGATGGGTGGCGCAGAGAGAGAGAAAGAGGCAGGGTGGGAGGGTTTGTGATTCAATAGGAAAAGAGACTGGCATTGCTCTTGAGTTATCGGCATTCTGTCTGCTTGTTTACACTGAAGACCGTCTGATAAGGTAAGTCTGATCTTTTTAAGCCAGCAACCATAAATGATATGCCAAGCGCACAAACGTGAGGTCAAGAAATGTTAGAAAGTTTATTTGATGTGACAATTAAATTTATTTTATTTCTATTTGATTTTTTATTAAATATTTGTGCTTTATTTAATATTAATTTAATAATTATTTTAAACAATTATTTAAATATTTAATTTATTGTAATTATATAATAATGATAAACCCGTATTTTTCTTTTATGTTATTTAACTTTATTAAATGTTATTTTTAAAACCATTTTTTATGCAAGAGCTGCTCAGTTTTTGGTTATTCTTGCATTACTGTACTGTATATCAGAGCATGAGATGTAATAATGGCACTATGGACATGATACAGAGAAGGAATGACGTTTATTTTCAAAATAATTATGTATAAAACCAGTGAAATGCAATGAAATCTAATGTTTTTGGTCATACAACTAGAGTCAATGCCTAAAATGATTTCATCTTTAAAGTAGGATTATAATGTTTGCCAGTTTCTCTCTTGGCTACCTGCCAGTAAATCAAACCCCACTGTGGATGAATGTCCAATAGTTTCTGGAGATGTGAAGTGTGTTGTCATCTGGCATTTGCACTTGTCCAAGTGCACAATATTAACTGTATGACCCATTACTCTCAATGACAGCTGCCTCATTTACAATTTCTAGCTTGTTTGTGCACTTTAGTGTAGTTCAATACAATTAATGAAATAGTATTTTATGTTTTATAAAAGTATTTGTGCACTTAACCCACACTACCAATGTCATTGTAGTGGATTGTCATACAGTAGATTTAAACCAAATGGTGTTTACTTTAAAGAAATACAGCATAAAACCCGTTTAGCAAAACATTCAGCAAAATGTTTAAGAGTTTTAAAAGATGCCATTAAAGATCTTACGGTTTGATATTAAATACTGTTTATGGCACTTGTTCATAATCAATGTGCTAGGACACCTGTGTGAACTTCATACATCCTCTGAAAATAGGACCTTTTGGCTAAAAGTGACTCAGAAAAGTTATTTCTGTCAGCATTTATTTGCGTATTTATCATCTCATGCAGTGACATCTTTAAGTGTGGCTTAAGTGCCCAAATACATTTTGAGGTCACAAGGCTTATTCATAATAAGCATTATGAAAAATGTTGTAAAATGCATCTGATTCTATTGATTTTAGGCCAGTCTTGGTTGTCAGTTCACTGTTTTCCTTGTATAAAGTTGTTTAAACAAGCTTTGAAGCAATGGAGATTATCATAATCTAGTACTTACTCAATGGAATATATAGTCAATATTTCCTGCTGTGATTTTTCTTTGTTGATTTGAGTAAAAATGTTCCATTGGAACAAGCATCAATGATGGTGTCTTTATCCGCCATCCTCGTATTTGTCGGCCCATAGTTTTAGGTCTCTAATTCTGAACCTGTTTCAGACAGGAGTCATTAATTGCCATCAGAGTCACCCTGTTCCATGACTCCTCGTGTCACATTCTCCTCTACCTTTCTGTTGTGTAACAAACCATCTATACTGTCTGTCTCCCCAAAGACAATAGGAGGACAATGGATCCTTTTTTTCCCCAGTGCTGAGTGCCCTCCCCCCCCATATCTACAGCAGGGCAAGAGCTCAGGCCTCCAGGCACGCTGACCTCATGGCTCGAACCAGAGGCCCGCTGTGGGTTGGTGTGTGTGTGTGGTATAATGACTGGTATAGTGTAGTGTGATCATAGATGCAGCAGTAATGGGGAAAAGCCTGACTCATGTGGGTGTAAGAAGGCCCTGTTTGGGAGGTTGGGGCAGTGGGATGTATTTTGTGCAGATTTGGCAGCTGTTATAATTTTTATTTATTTATTTTTAATTTTTTTTGATAATTGAGCATTGTAATTGAAGGCTGGTCTATATATATATATATATATATATATATATATATATATTAGTGCTGTCAAACGATTAATCGCATCCAAAACAAAAGTTTTTGTTTACATTATGTACAGTATGTGTACTGTGTATATTTATTATGTATATATATAAATACACACACACACAGTATATATTTTGAAAATATTTACGTTTATACATTTACATTTATTTTGTAATATATAAATATTTCATATTAACAAATTTGTCTTAAATATATTCATGCATGTGTTTGTATTTATATATACATAATAAATATACAGTATACACATTATGTAAACAAAAACCTTTATTTTGGATTTGATTAATCGTTTGACAGCACTAATATATATATATAGTGTGAATGGGTGATTGTTGTGATTTTTTAAGACAATTAGCTGTGCGCATCGACTTCCCTGTGTTGTGTTGTGTGGTGTCAGGCTCCAGCCTGGCCGTTCTGTTCTCTCCCGGGACGGCCTAAACAATAGCCACTATGTACAGAAGCACAAGGGGCAGGAGTGTGTGTATGGTGTTTGTCGAGGCTCTGGAGCATTTACGTCTATACTGATTGACTTATTTCTCTGGTGCAGAGTGTTGTAACTGGAGTAACTGGAGCAGTGTGTTTTCATCCAGACAGTTGGACACAATGCTGTTAACTAAATTACTTTAAGCTTGCAATTGACAACTCAACAGGGTTAAGTGTATTTTAGTTAGTGCTTAGTGGCTCCTCAGTTCTGTTTGAGTTTCTGTTAAGTTGTTACTTCAATTACATATTTTTGGTGATGTGCAGTGGTTAGTGTTCTAGCATTGTGGTAGCTTCTAAAAAAATCAAGATTCTTGTTAGAACCAAAAAGTTTGTGGAAGCCTGATTACATTTTTTATTTCTTTTGAAAACCCATCTATGCTCTGGTGCTTTCAAGATCTTAGCCAATATGTTGATTAGAAGAACTTAAAATGTGATCTCAAGAACATTCAAGGAACTATCTTTAAAGGTTCTACAAAGGTTCTCTGAAGGCCCCACTTTTTTAAGAGCCATTTTTGCCTTATATGGTGTTTTACAGATGGAATGTTCTTGCTGTTACGTTTAAAAGTTATTTTAAAGTTGTTTTAAGGTTCATTAGGGCTTTTAAATGTTCTTCAGATCAACATATTGGTTTCTGGGTTCTCTTTTCCAAAAAAAATCAAGTTTCCAAAAGGGGTTTTTAGCTGCAATGCCATGCATAGAAGAACCATTTTGGGTTCCCCCTAAAGAACATTTCAGTAAATAGTTCTTAAAAAGATCAAATTTTTTTAGTGTGAAGAACACTTTAATAATCTGAAGAACCTTATTCCACTATAAATAACCCTTTGAGCAGTGGAAGCATTCCATGGATGTTAAAGGTTCCTCATTGAACCATAAATGTCAATGAAGAACCTAAACTATGATAGTTATTTGTTCTTCTATAACATTAGGCTTATCAGGTAAACACACTTAAAAAATAAAGATACAATGT